CCCAGCCTGGCTGGGGGATTCTGGGAGTTGAAGTCCCCATCTCTTAAAGTTGCCAAGTTTGAGAAACACTGTTTTATTGTTTTGATTGCTGAAAATCAGGGCCGTGATTCCCTCCATCTTGAGATCGCAAACACCCTGAGCTTTTCTTTAGGCTAAGCTTAAATTAGACTTCCTATAGAGTCCAAAACATGTTGAGAAAACTTGACTCGGCCTGCCTGTGTCTCTTCCACTGACCACAGCTGAAATGGGCTTCTTGCCACTGGAAGGCTGTTTGCCACTTATGCTTGTAAAAACCTGGCAGATGAATTCTGATCTTGGTTTATACGCTAACCTGGCTTATGTGGCATAGTATGTGGGGAGGATCCCCCCTCCTCAGTTCAATATATTTATTTATGTACTGCCTTGATTTCTGAGACTTCTATCCCACCTTGTGTTCAGGAGCTCAAAGCAGGGCACGTAGCAACCCCTCCTCCCATTTTTTCCCTGCAACAACCCTGTGAGGTAGGCTGGGCTGAGAGATTGGGTCTGGGCCAAAGCCACTCTGTGAGCTTCCATGGCTGGGGTGGATTTGAACCTGAATCTCAACACCTTCATTATCCCACACTGGCTCTCGATCGTGCCACCGCAGAAACCGGGTTAATTCAATCACCAGATGTGCTCTGCGAAGGCAGCCCCCGTTTCAACCTCCGACAAACTGCGTTGGGCGCTCTGTCCATGCCAAAAGCTGTCCTCTGGCTGGAACTTTTGTTTCGGCGTCCTCATTCCAGCCATCTCTGTTTCCGTCTTTTTTCCCAGGCGCTGTTCAAATGCTCTCTACCACCTGTATCGGCTGTGTCAAAATGTTCATCCCCTGCTGTCTTTACCAGCATAAAAGCCGCCTCTCCTACCCTCCCAATTTCATCATGATTATGCTGTTTGTCGGCCTGATGCGGTAAGCCCTTGGCCGTGTTTGCAGAAACGGTATCACTTCTTCCTTGATGAAATCCCCCCCTTTGTTGCAAAAAGGAAGTCCAAATCTGTGTTCCCCACTGGAGAAGGCTGAGTCAAAGAAGCTAAAAACTTAAAAGAACTTTTGTATGGTTTGTACTGGCATCTCAGGGGGAATCATCCGAGGCAGACAATGGAGAATTTCTTCTTTTTTTTTTTAAAGTTTTTAATCTGCTGCTCCTATGTCTCATTTTGGATGTTAGCATTGTGCATAGCGAGAAGTCTGTGGTTTTTAATGGTTGTAATGGCTTTGTACTTTTGGGTAAACTTAAGCAAAGCCCCAGGCAATGACGAGATTTTTTTTTTTTTTAGTTTTTAATCTACTGCTCTTGCATTAGCTTAAAAAAAAGTTTTTAATATCGTTTTCTCCAACCTGGGGCTTTTCAGATTTTTTGGACATCTCCTATAATCCTAGGGAGTATAGGAAGGGATTCCTGTTTGAACAGTTAACAGAACAGAGAAATCTATTGTATTTATAGTTTTTGAAGATAGTCTGAATCTTCAGCTCTATGTCAGTTTTTATTTTATGTTGAGCAATATAAAGTAACATTAGATGATGACAATGTACAATCACCCCACTATGAACAGTCTAGCCTATATACTATGTAAAAAGAAACTAACATTTAGAATTACTAACACAGCTATACAGTCACAATACTGCTCAAATATTAAGCTAACGTATAGTGCAGTATAAACTTTTGTGACATCGACGTTAATCTATAAAAACTACAGAAAATTAGCTAAAAATGGATAGAACGGTATAAAATCACTGTATAAAATCTACAGGGAAAATTAAAATTAATATCGACCGCATACACTTTAATACAATGCATTGTATTTTTCTCTACTTTTATTTCTGTTTTAGAGGGACTGTTCTGTTATTAGTTAAGGGAAACACAATACAATATAGCAGCAAATAGCATGGTATAAATGTCACTGTATTCAAAGCAATAGCATGAATAGCTATAGAGCAACCATCATGCAGCTTTCTAGATTTTGGCTGCTAAAAAGTTAAACTGTGTTTCCCCCTGTTTCTTCTCAGATTTGCAACAGTGGTTTTGGGGCTCGTCAGCCTGAAGAACGTGGCGGTTTCCTTTGCCGAGACAGTGAAAAGCTCTGCGCCCATCTTTACTGTTATTATGTCTCGCATGATTTTAGGAGAATACACCGGTACGTTTTGCTGAAATAACTAAACCTGAAAAAATGAAACTGAGCATAGGATGAAGGATACTTTGACAGTCCTATCTATGGAGTGATTTTCATCTGCCCATGTAGGGCTAATGCCTGGTTGCCAGAGGTGATCAGAAATTCAACCCAGGCGAGCTGTTGAGCTGAGGGAGGAGGGATGAATCATTCCATTACTTATCAGCCCTTGATGAGAACCCCTCATCTCTGTTGCTCCCTGAATTATTCTTCCACTGGCTGGCTTGGGTTTTGTATCATCCATACTACAAGGAAGATCTCCTGCACAAGCACTGTAAAAATGCCAGATCCTTTAGGCATCTTATTTCCCCTGCCCCATCCGGGCAAAATTCATTCACTTGTTTAGCCATTGTGGCTACAAGTCTGATTTCCATCTCGGAAGCAAGCTGCAAGAATCTTTCCATCCTCCAGATGTTGCTTGACTTCCTCTCCTGGAAACCCTTACTTGAAAAGCAGCTAGTTTGACCACATCTGGCAGAGCCCATCCCTTCATGCCTTCAACACACTTTTCAGCCCCTCGGGGTTGAAAAGGAGACCCCTTCTCATCCCTCCTGAACCCCAATCCCAAGTCCAGTTGGCCAGAACTCTTTGGTTAGCTGGTTTTTAAAATGTCTGTTCCTTTGTTCTCGTCTGATTTCTCGCTCTGCCTTGGATTGGCTCAGGGCTCTTTGTGAATCTCTCTCTGGTCCCTGTGATGGGCGGGCTGGCACTGTGCACTGCGACCGAGCTGAGCTTCAACATCCTCGGCTTCTCGGCAGCTTTGTCGACAAACATTATGGACTGGTAGGTATCTCTGGAGGCTTAAGGGGGGGGGGTTGCACGAAGGGGAGAATTTGTATAAAGGGGCTCAGCTGACCCAAAACACTAAACTGCTTCTCTCCCAGCCATATCTAGATCAGTGTTTCTCAACCTTGGCAACTTTAAGATGCGTGGACTTCAACTCCCAGCTGGCTGGGGAATTCTGGGAGTTGAAGTCCACGCATCTTAAAGTAGCCAAGGTTGGGAAACACTGAACTGGACAGAGGAACTATGTCTAGAAAACTCATCTGCAAAGGAATTTTAAAGTGTTATGGTGACTTCTCCGTCTTCACTCTTGGTTCTTTCCACTAAACCTTTGAAATAAATGTGGTTTCCTTCCCCTCTTTGCAGTTTGCAGAATGTCTTCTCCAAAAAACTGCTCAGTGGGGACAAGTACCGTTTCTCGTAAGTATCTAGTCAAATTTACTAAAAAAAAAAAAAAGAAATCTCTCCACGATCTTTCTAAATGAGGCTTTGGGGTAGCGTTTCTCAACCTTAGGAACTTTAAGATGTCTGGACTTCAGCATGCTGGCTGGGGAATTCTGGGAGTTGAAGTCCAGACTTCTTAAAGTTGCCAAGGTTGAGAAACACTGCTTTGGGGTAACCACTGAAGGTTTTGTGATATAACCCTGAGCCACCTGGTTTTGCTCATTAAACCGTGTTTATGATTTAACCAAAGCTTTGCTCTGCTCTGCTCCGCTCCAAATGGCTTGCATTAATTTCCCCTGCTGCCCCTTCAAGTCTTAAGCAGCTGTCAATGACATGTTGAGCAGAGACCCGGGTTCAGATCTCCAACCTGCCACAAAACTCTCCGGGCAATTTTTGCCACAATTGCATTCTTTCAGCCGAGCCTACCTCACAGGATTGTTGCGAGGCTAAAATGGGGAACAGGGTGAAGAATACCCCCTGGCATTGCCAGGAAAAAAATGCCATCTAAGAATGGATAAAATATACTTTGGCATCAGGATTTAGCACCAACCCTAGAGCAGCTTTGCAAGGGCTTAGGATCTTGTGCTGGAAGAGAAGGCTTGTGTTTCTATTTTTTTTTTCCCCTGCTTTCATTGAAACTAAGCGAACTGTTTTTAAAACTTTTTTTTAAAGTTGATTGATGCTGTTTTAGAACTTGGGCTGCAGCCTCTACGTTTCCTGCTTCAAAGATGGAGGAAGCTACATTGCAGATTTTCAGACAGTTCGGTCGCTTTTGGCGGCTGTGGTTAGGAAGGGCTCGGAGAAAAATGAGGTCAGGAGCTACCAGAAACTTGGTGACCACCACTAGTCCCCCTGACTATATATGCTTGGTATAACCTGCTCCTTTCTGAATCCAGATTCATTAGTCACGAGTGCATCGTGACAAGATTGTTTGTTTCTTAACGTTTCTTAGTTCAGTGTTTCTTAAACCTTGTGCTCTCAGGACCCCTTCCCGTTTTCCAAATTATGGAGGGCCTCAAAAGAGCTTTGGTTTGTATGGGTTACGTTTATAGATATTTACCCTATTAAAAATTAAAATGGACGGCTTCTTCGATGAATGTAAATAAAATATTTTTCATTAAAAAAAACCCTGCTTTTTTTTTTTAACGAATAGAAAATAATAAGGAGAAGGGCGACATTGTTTTAAATGCTGGCAAACATCTTCAATTTCTGGCAAATCGTTTTGATTTTGTGGCCCCAGAGAGGGTCTTGGGGGACTCCCGGAGGTCCTCAGACCACCCTTTAAGAAACAGTGTCCTAGTCGAAAGGTTATTTTTGCAATTTGAATCTTAAGTGGGTAACCTGAAAGGGATTTTCCCTTATGGTCCAAACTGTTTCTTTTTACCCTCTTCTGCAGCGACTGCGCACTCTCGTTTTTGATCTGGCAGTTGTAGGCCAAAGGGCTTCTCCCCACGGGGTTTTCTAAACCAGCCGTGACCACCGCCGGCCTGGAGTTTGATCAGATCATTCTGCAAGCCGGGTGTAACTGCTGGGGGAAGGAACAGGCAGAGATACAGCAGCCTGGGCCCAGGGGATTGTTTTTAGACAGATTTGTCCAAGGCGATAAGGTAGCTTGATGACCGTTGGGCTTCACTGCTCCGTGCTTTGCAGCTGATTAGGAGGGCTCTGGCTAACTGAAAGGGACCGAAAGCTGGAAGTTCCTGCTTTGCGTCTCTCGTGAGATTTGTGTAAGGATCAGATGGGGGGGGGGAAAGGGGTGACGAGAACACGGGTGTCATCTTCGCCAGGGGTGCATTTCAGATAAAGTTGCAGGAATCGTTCGTCTCGCTCGACTCGTTCCTCTCCCTGCCCCCTCCTTTTTTTTTCTAGTGCTCCTGAGCTTCAGTTCTACACGAGTGCAGCTGCTGTGATCATGCTGATTCCTGCCTGGGTCTTTTTCATGGTGAGATGGGGGTTCTGGCCCCGTGTTTGGCAATGAAGGGGGATGTTGCAATTCATGTTCCACCTCGGACTGTGGAACCCAGACTTGGGGAACGTTGTCATAGATTGTAAATTGCAAGCCAACATTTGGCAGGGCAGGACCCAAACCAAGTGGGGCAGCCATTTCTCTCTTTTCTCTCTATCCTTTTCTCCAACCTACCTACCTTCCTTCCTTCCTTCCTTCCTTCCTTCCTTCCTTCCTTCCTTCCTTCCTTCCTTCCTTCC